ATTAAAAAGGTATGGTCCATTTAAGATCCCAATACAGATACTAAAAGATATTTCTATTATGCAATACAAAGATTGCCAATTTTAATTTTAATGCCAATTTTAAATATAAAGTTTACACTTCCTTATCCCTTAGATCCCTATTTCAATTAATAAACTCTTCGTTAGCAGAAATATAGTGCTGTTTTTCTTGCTTTCCCCCCCCCCTTATTTTTTATTCTTTGTTTTCTGAAATAAAAGTGTAATATTACAGTCCATATTAATCCCCTCTTCCAAAATATTACAGATAGCTGGAGCACATAAAGACAATACTACATATTCAACACTGAAATGGTAGGAAATAGTATAAGAAGTAGGATACACATTATAAAAACCTAAAAGTAAGTTTAGTCAGGAAAAGGAGCTCACTTTAGGAAGTATCCACACTTTACTGGGTAATATTGTAAAGCATAAAAACAATATTATTAGCAAAATTAAGATATCAAATTTCAAGCTGACCCTGGAATTCTGGACCTATGCACAGAGATTGAGCCACACATCCTGTAGTTACACAGCTTCCTCTTTTCTTAGATTAAAAACTTTTGGTCTTTTGTGCAAGAGCTGAAAATTTCAGGTGGAAACCTCTGTACCATTTTACTTTTAATGTTGATATTTGTCATCAACTTCATTTTCTGTTGAATTATGTTTTCCTTTAGTGATATTCTGGAATTAAGCCTGTCCATGAGGGGTTCACTGCAAAAGTGTTATATTTACAATGGCTTACAGTCTATAGAAATACTTGCATCCAAGCACAGCAGTAATTCATTTTTCATTTTATGTATCTATATGTAAAACATGTAAAAATCGAAATGCATCAAATGTGCAATACAAATATACCAAGTAGGTCAGATATTGGCCATAAGGAGGTAATTGTGAATGAAAATTTGAACCCTTGAATTGCACAGAATTACTAAAAGTGCTACTAGAACATTACATCATGAAAATACACCAACAAAGCATGCAGAGCATATAGCTTTCTTCATTTTAGTATTAAAAACATTATACAAAATGCCATCTGAGTTCGATACAAATATGCTGAAAAGAAAGATTAATATGGCCATCTAGAGGAGAAAAGAATGCTATGAAAACATACAACACAATTTTTCAGGCTTCAGAATATGATGCTTTTAGAGGCATTCAGCCAGAAAAAGGATGTAATAAACTAATTACAGAATTCATAATAAGCAAACTTTAAAACAATACATCCAGACATTTCAGTGGCATGACTGATGCAAACATATTAATATTAAACATTTTTTTGGCAAGGCAAGCAAAACATACATGGTGTATTAATAAAGACACGATTATGCTTTTGTCTCTTTGTTTAATTTTGTGTGTGCAGAGTTTAGTACACACACATCTAAACAAATTTAAAGAGACAAAAGTTCAGAGTAAACAGGTTTTGGTAAAACCGTTTATTGACTCCTTTAAAAACACACAGCTCACTGTTGCAAAATAGAACTGGAGAGAGAACAGCTGCTGAAGATAAAATTCAGCAGAAAAATCCAAAATTTTCTGAAAACTAAATATCATTTCATTAGTCATACTACTCTATCTTTTATGGAATTCATAGAGTCATAGAATCATGGAATGATTTTTTGTTGGAAGGAGCCTTACAGACTGCCTCATTCCTCTGCCCTGGACAGGGACACCTTCCACTTGACCAGGTTGCTCAGAAATCCACCCAGTCTGGCCTGGAACACTGCTAGAGATGCAGCATCCACAGCTTCTCTGGACAATCTGATCCAGTGCTTTGCTACCCTCAAAGAAAATAATGTTTTTCCTAATATCTAATTTAAACCTATTCTCTTCCAGCAGATCTTCTAGATCTCCTTAAAACCACTGCCCCTTGTCCTTATTTTAATGATCAGAGGCTGCTTTACTGGCAACAAGCAGGAGGAAAACAGAGGTGAGACAAAAATTAATTCTGTCCTCTCATCACTTCACTTTAACACTATCAAGTGCTATATGCTCAACATATGGACTGATCAGTGCCTTGCAGTGGAAGCACAGCTGAAATGTTCAAGAGCTAGAAGCAGAAATGATAAAGCACATATTTGAAAACAGAAGCACACAAAGTCAAACGCAGTGGCAAATTTTTCTCATATTAAACAAAGTACATAGGAAAACACTACTTGTTCCACAGAAGAGTCAAGAAATAGTTCTATCATCTGCCTTTACACTTTTTATAAAAATAATTAAATGCCCATAAAAGCCAAGTATCCAACAAAAAAAATCAGCATTGCTATGGCATCAAGTCTTCTACAGATTTTTTTCCAAGTTTAAGGAACAGTAAAGCTTTGCATTTTTAACTGAAACATCTGGAATGCTGATGCTTCTCCCTTGGAATCAGATTTTTAATGTCTTCTGTTAAGTGAACTGTTTCTCTGAACACATATGAACAGCTTGGTAGTAATAATCTCTCCTTTATTTCTGATTGCAGGACTTCTTCATGAGGTTTTCACCTCTTTCCATCAAAGTTCTATGTTGGACAGCTTTCCCTCTGTAATGATCATCACATAAGGCATACACTGTCTCTTCCTCTATTCTAAAATATTTTTATCACTGTGCAAAGATTCTTTGAAATAATTTAAGAGCATAAAAAGTACTAACAGTAATTATTCTAGCATGCCAACTTCAGGTCACTGAGAAGTGAAAAATGTTAGGTTGTTAATCTGCTACCATGTCCAAAACTTTTCTTAATAGTATTGAACATAATTTTGTTGAGAAGAATGGATTAATAAAATAACACAAACTCCTAACTCTAATTTGCAAGCATTTTGCCGAACATACGGTGTAGAATGATTGCAAGCTGTCAAAAAAATAACACTGTTTATTCTCCATTCCTTATAAAATGTATGAAGAGAATGGTCGCATAAGCAGCAGCAAAATCAAAATAGTGACATTATTAAAGTTTTTGTACAAGTAGAAATACGTGGTTAAAACAATCTAAATTTTTTATTTAGAATATTTTGATAGCTTTTGTTTTAGAAGTTTTTTTGCTTCCAAACGCTGAATGTTCTTTCATTACAATACATTTTAAAATGGCATTTATACCCAGCCTGCTCCCAAATGGAGACAGCATTGAAAAGGAATAGCACCTGGTGACAGATATATTTAACAATAGAAGAATAACAAAAAACGAGGAGGGGGTAGCAACTGTAACTTTCTGCATGCAATATTTGGACCTGCCAAAAAGGTTCTTTTGTCTTAGACTGTAATCCTGATACAGATTTCCAGACTGGAAACTATCATTCCCCCAGGATAAAAATCAGAAAATATAAATTCTGATTAATTAAAAGGATGGTAAGGAACACAATCATTTTAAAAAGATGGATAAAGGCTAGCACAATGCCTTTGAAGTTTAAATCCTATAGGACCAAAGTAAAAAGCTCAGAAGAACGCTGGACTTTTCACTGAGAAGATGAACTAGATTGAACAAAAAATCTGAGCAGTTACAAAATAAAAAGAGGAATGGTGTATAACTATGGCTATTTCAACCACTAGCCTCAGTAGTGTGCAGAGAGAGAAATACCTTATTCTAGATAACTGAAAGGAGTCTTCCTGCGTAATTCTTGTATAATTCATATCTGGTATTATTTGCTAATCATTTTTCCATCTCCTGTTAGTAAACATCATCATTCTTTCCCAACAGTGACAGCAGCCATAAGAAAACCTAAGTATCTTATCTTTCATATTCTCCCCACCAACACTGTTGAGAGACCTCAGTAGATATCAAAACCAAACATACTTTTACTGTGCCTATTCCTTCTCCATCACAGTGTTCAAGGATCAGTTTTTACCACCTGACCTCACCTCTGCATCTCCTTCACCATGTGCTGAAACTCAGACTACCAGCCTTCCTACAATTTAACAACAAAGGAAAGAAATGAATTTTCTGATGATCAAAAGACAATCCTTTTACTCTGCAACTTACTTGAAATATGGCTTTCATGTCCTTCAAGTCTTGGCTTGGAATCATGAATGACCACATACTCATTTCAAATTTCAACAGCAGACTTTTATATAATTTAATTATATCAAATTGTAGGAATTGTAAATTTTTTCAAGCCCTTCTGGACTGTATGAAACATTTAAGGTGGAATATCTTTTCATTATATGTATCCACTTTTTATTAGAAAACATCAAACACTAAAAAACTTTTGCATGTTAGCATACTAAAGGAAGACCAAAAATACCTTACTATAATATGGCATCTGTATCAGAATCTGACTTTTACCTAACTCCCATAAAAGTTGACTTTTCATGCTTGAAACTGGCTATGGACACAGTTCCCACACAACTATTTTCAAATACAAAAAGCATATAGACAAAATATTGGCAGCAGAATTCTCAGCCTCTACATCAAGCTGTCACCCCAACTCAAAATAAAGAAATATATAGCATGTAAGAAAACATCCACTGTTTAAATTCGACTTTTAGCACCATGGAAAAATACATTAATCTAATCTTTGTAGCAATTGCTTTCTGTCATTTCAAGAGAAGAAAAGATACAGAACATTCCAGCAACACACACTGCAATGAACATATGCAGGGTAGCCAATACCCAATTCCATTTACTTTGCTGTTAGAACAACTTATCAATACAGGAATAACATGTCTTCTTTGTATTTATAATACCACAAATTCAACAAAAGTTGCCATGTTTCCTTCCTAAATGAAAATAGCTTAAATTGCCCCAAAAATGAAATGAATAATGATAAAATTAAATGAAACTTAATATAACAAAATATTCTATAATTCATAGTATTTCTGGAAGAATGTATACAAGTGTGTGCTTTTCTTTGGTTGTTTTTTTTTTTGAGCATGCACTAATACAAGAGGTGTCTGGATATTGCAGACATTGACTATTTGCTAGCCAAGCTGCTCTTGTCTAGGACTTACTTATCCAGAACGCAATTCTGAAATTTGGAATAAAAGGAATGCTTTTAAATCACTCTTACCTTCATCTATTGAGGCTTCACTACTGTATCCATCATATTCTGCAGACAGGGGACTATATTTTTGTCTGGTTTCCCATATATAGTTTTTTTGCTGTCTGCCATCCACCACTGGCAGCCTGGAACTCTGGGTTCTAGACAAGGCCTCATGATATTTACCCAGTGCTTCATCTTCACTCTCAGATGATGAACCATGCTGGTCTTTACTCATATAAGAATTGTCTGTTTGAATAAAATAAAGCAAATCGACTACAGCTCAAAATAGAATACAAGAAAATAACCATAAGAGGTTATCATTGAAGATATTTAAGCCATTTCAATTAAAATTTCTGTAATATTTTAAAATATCTTGTTGTAATTACAAGCATTGTGATTTTGTAATTGCTGAGAGCTGTACTCATTTTCTAGAAGACCTGAAAGATCATTAAGCCCCAAAAAACCATACTAACACTTATTCAACAGAAAATAGATCAATTTATGTAAGGCGGCACATAGACATTCTTGAAACCCTTCATTAAGTAGGAAAATGTTTAAAATAATTTATGTAAAGTAAATCCAACACTGCTGCAATATTACATTTGGATACCTTATGGATCAAGCAAGCAGCTCCTGATCCTACATTCCCAGCTGATTTTTGCTGTGAGCATGTAGCATAGCATAGTAATGAAACTGATTTACAAAAAGAAGCCTACAACAAAATCATCTTTAGGATAGTTATGCCAGTAGTGCTTAAACTCACAATAACAAATGGGAAAATGCTAGTGAAAAATGTTTGCATGCACAATTTTATTTAACTTACAATAAACAGCTCCTTGTTCAATGACTGAAATTAATGCAGATTTTTACTGCAGACATCTGGCAATAGCAGAAATTACATGGGAAAAAAAAAATCTATCTAGTTAATTCTTTTATAGCAGTTCTGTAGTGCCTACTCCTGTGGCCAAAATTTTCCAACTACATCTGAAGTGTGACTTCCTCCCACAAATCAAAGATTACCTGTATTTTTATTTCTGAAAAGGGAAGATTTTCTCCTCCCTTTTTCCAAAGTTCAAATGGATTCTGCCAAATTTAACATGCCTTGCAGAGGTTCTGTAGATCTCAGATTCTAATAGGCATTAAGAATTCATGTAAGCTCAGAAGTCAGCATTACCTCTACTCTGAGGGCAAACCTATGCAATATGATTTGCCAGTGTATTTCCATTACCAGCAGAGCTTTGAGGTGCCCATAATGCTGTTTCTCAGCTCCTGAATCTGAGGGAATGTTGTCTAACATGCTATCCAATAGGTGTTACACCACAGAAATCTCACAGGTAACACGCTCAACTGCTTCTCCCCGCCCTGCTTTTATGCCCTCAGCTCCAGGTCTGCATTTCCACTTCCATTAGTGCCTGTCTTCATGCCCAGTCAGTCTCACTCCTCTGGCTGGGTATTCCTGCTAAAAGAGAGATTCATTTTATTCAGCCAGTTAAATTAACTCAATGTATGCCAAACATCTAGACCTCTTTTACAGAACAGTGTTTTCCTCTTAGTACTACAGAGGTCTGTTCTTTCTACTTTTAGGAATCACTTCCTGTAGAGGTCTTTTTCTCTCTGGTACTCATACAGAAAAAGATCTCTGCTGCAAGTTTAGGTAAGAAATCTTTTGGAAAGTTACATTTATACAAGTAGAATCCTATGCCAAGTTCCTGTCTCTCAGCCCCATACTCCATGCTCTTGCTCCAAACACCCACTTTTAGTTTCTTATTATGATTTCCTCTATTCTCTTTGGCTATTCAGTCCCAGTCTATTTACTTGCACCTAACCAACTACTCATGTAACCTGGGTCTTTCACCTTCAGTCTCTCCACCTTCATATGAAATGATCAGTTCTTTCCATAGCTGTCACCCTTCCTAGTTTAAATCCCAATCTACCATGCACATTGGGTCCTATTTGTTCAGGAAGTTTCTGTCCGCACATACAATATGTTTATTCTCAATTCTTCTGTTCAGTGTCTGTCAGTAACCATAAATATCAAAGGCAGGGTTAAGACCTCCTCTGTTTTTCAATCCCTACAATGAAGCATGTGAGTGCAATGGGATGGTCAGTGAATTTAAGCAAAGTATAAGAAGTGTTTACCATGTCTTTTCAAATAGCAAACTTTCAAAAAATTTACAACTTTATCAAACTTAGGTGTTTTTTCATAGAACATGGGCATCTCTGACATGGGAGAAATGCTCTCCCACATTTCAAGCACATATTCCAACACACAAAGGTGCCACAGCATCTTTGTAAAGCTGAAGTGAAATCTACTTTTTTTTTTTTTGCACAAATACCCAGCATGTTTTTTTTCCCTTAACGTATTTTTTTGGAAATAGTTAAAGATTTAAAACTATAACTTAGGAAAAAAACAGAACAATAGGATCTCAGACAGAAAGAATGCCTAATTCCCTCAAAATTCTTTCAAATTTGGCACACAATTTAGGAAACTCATAATAAGGTCTTGAGATGGAAATTGTCAGAAAACCTTATCCAGATGTGGGGCTACCAGCTCTACACACAATGTGTACATCAACTCAATTCACTATTTATAAGAAAAATAGTGCCTTAAAAGACTTCTAAGAAGAAACTAGATCTTTCAACCCTTGACTGTTAATTCAAGCCTAGAAGATATGGTTCTTCCCATTTATGGGTGGCTATAAAGCAAGTTCAATTTCAGTGATCATTTACTGAAAATATCACACCAAGCAGGATATATCCTGGCTAACACATTCACTGCAAGAGGCTGCCCAGAAAAAGGAATCTCCTTTGCTGTAACACAGAGTAAAATTTTGTACCTCATACGGCCCTCCAGGGGTTGAAACCTGCCACATTGAAACTTCCACAGATTCCCACAATTATAATTAAAGCAGAGCATACCAGGCCTAAAATACAATGCCAGACATCAGTATTAATATTTCAAGAAATGTATTCACAGATATAAAATCAGGTTCATTAATCAGTCTGCATAAAGAATGGAATAGTATAAAACATGGCAGCAGCATGTTTGAAAGAAGAGTTGGAAGTTATGCCTCTAATAATACGCTGAGTTTTATAAGCATCCAGAAGTTCTCAGTAAAAGCAGTTTATTTTCCCTCCAGTTCCTATCATAAAAGAATGAGAATGTATACCAATATTATAAGTCATGAAGCAAGACCTCTTCAGAGGACTTAAAATCCTCCTCAAAGTTGAAACATAAGCTATCCATGCAAAAAAATTTTTTTTTTCAATTACAAGCAGATCAGTTTCAGTTTCTTGGGAAAAAAATAGTTTCCTGTACATTTAAAAAAAATCACAGAGTTTAATGCCTTTGCTTGCCACTTCTTGTTTCATTTTTATACCTTATTTGGAAACTTGGCTATGAGAATTTATGTTCTTAGTAAAACCTTTCTTTTATTTGGCTGACATGGGTCATGAGGATTTTTTAACCTATTGAAAGTTATTAATTTGCTTATTATGGGACTTAAATGCCATTTTTGAGAGAATATACCTTGTAAATATATTATTATGTAAAGAAATAGATAAGATCATAGTTTATCATACAAACATGGAAAACACTCCTAATTCAAACTAAAAAAAAACACCAAACAAACAAAACCAAACCAAAACTCAACAACAAAGATAACTGAAATTTTCAGATAAGGAAAACACAAACAACTGAAGGAAAAAAATGGGTTTCTATTAGGAAATCATTCACTTCTTTACAGAATCAGTCCCTCTGGAAAAGCATGTGTTGCTTTCTAAAATTTTACTATGCAGCCTACAAAAGTATGTAAAATTGCAAGGTTTTACTTCTTCCTTACAAACTGCTATTGCAATTCCCATATCACACTAAGATTGGATGTTGAAGACGGCACACAAAGCATCCATAACAACACACAGGTTTTCTTTCAAGACTACAACTTCAAGACAAGCTGCATTCACTTCTTTCTGTACTTAAATCACTTAATTCCGTTTCTTATTGAGTTTCTCATTTCTCATTGTGTCTTGAAATCATTATTTTATGCATCCCAGAAATATTCTGAAGATCTACTGTAATGCAAATGCGAAGGAAGTCATTCCTTTTATTGTCATATCACATCTTATGCAATGCTTTTAAACTAAACAAAATAAAAATCACTTTCACACAAGTATTAACTTCCAGTATTAATTAATTTATAGTTTCAGCAGAAACCACGGAAGGTAGAGAAGACAAGAAAAACTGTATAGAGAAAGAGTTAAGTTAGAACATAGAAAAGGCATTTATTAATCAGTTCCTTTAAGTAATACTTTGCAAAGTAATTAACTTGCAAGAAATATCAACATAATTAGAAAATGAAGCACTGAAACAAACCTACTTTTACTCACAGGAAACACTATTATTAAATGTGTAAATTAGGTGAAAAAAGCAGGAAATATCATAAGTTTCAGGAAAGGCTGAAGAATGCAGTTTGCTGACAGACTCCTCACCTTTTCCAGCTGTCTTCTTATTACATAGCTCTCTTTCTAATTTCTTTGAGTTTTTCCTTTTACCCTCATTTGCAATTGTACTTGACACACTGCCTTCATCCTTTGAGATGGGTTTTCTTTTTCTGTCAAAGAAGGCTTCAGCTTTCTTTTCCTTGATTTCATTAAGGCAACTGGGACGGTCATTGTGCATCTTCTTCAAGCTGGAGTTTGAGAATTTCTCCTTCTGTACTTCAACAAGCTTTGTTTCTAAATCTTGGGAAACATTCACACTGTGCACTTTATCAGAATCTTTAAAATCAGCTCCAGGTGACTGTGGTTTGATTTTTTTATGCTCACGATTCTTAGAATTATCTGATACCGCATATAAAGAGTTATCTTGCTCCTCAGTAGATTGCTCCACTGTAAGTTGTTTACTTTTCAGGTTACTATCCTTCAAGAATTTATCATTTACAAAACACTCATTTCCCCCTGCTACTGCCCTTTTAAAAGGTCCTCCAACAGTCTTCAAATCCTGAGGTACTTCTGTATCACTGAGAGGATTATTATGATCTGCGCCTCTTAACTGGCACTGGTTTTTGTTCAAGACATGGTCAGACACTCCAACTTGACTTGTACCGTTTTTTACAAAATCAAATGAATTAGAATTATGAGTCTCTTTATGTTCTGCAGCACCTCTCTTTATTTTCATATCAATCTCCTGAGAATGAGTTAATGAGGGTGTGTGTTCCTCTCTGCCTTCCACAGGTTTATCACTCTGCGTTTTGGAGCTCTCATCTTCTGCCCGCAGGCCATTGATCATGCTGGTTACTTGCTCCGTCACTGAGTCAGCTACAGAGTAGCCAACCTCACCAACAACACTGGCCAGGTCATCCACAGCACTGCTGAGCGTGTCCACCAGGGAAGACACGGAGGGAAGGCTCAGGTTTTGCTGAAGGTTTCTAAAGAACGCCATTTGTTCAGCCTATTCAGCAACAGCTCCTAATACTGAGAGGTCCTCTGTTTCACAAACTGATCATCTCAGTTTCTCCAGCTCAAATTTCACAGCTATTTGCCTTTTCTATCTCAAAAATCAATACATTTACCAGGGGAAGTTGCAGCTTTTCTCTTTTCATTCAATAAACATTGCAAATAATAAGAAAACAGCTAAATAAAAATCTTGAAGCCACAATCAACCAGCAAAACTCTAGTTTTCATCAACTGCAGCATCAACTAGCCATAATAAAATTCATTATTTTCAAAACCAAGACAACTTTGTGAGGTTGATTTTTTTTTTTATTCTAACCTGCAAAAAACAAGTTGTGAGACATTTAAATTTTCATGAGTGTCACACTAAAACAAGCATTTAACATAACACAACACACATTGTGGAGACTTCTTCACCCCAAAATATTTGTTGTCTTTTACATAAGGTAAGATACTTTGGAGTAGCAAGACTTGTTTCATAGCGAAAGACAAAAGTTAATATGACAGACAGTCTATACGGAAAAATATTTTTTTGCTTCTTGGAAAATTGAAAATAAAAATTTAGCTCCATCTTTTAGAGAGGTAGAGGGGAAGAATGCCTCTTCAATTTCACATTCTGTTTTCTGGTGCCTGACTCTTGCTCTCAAGTCAGCTAACACAGCCTGTTCAATTTTTACAGTACAAAAGTAGAAAGAGGTTGTTGTACAAACCCTCAATATCTTTTTCAAGGTCTAATTTCTTTCATTACACATGATCCTTAAAGACTTTGTTGCATTAAAAAATATTCAATAATGTGTTAGTCAGATATAAGATAATGTTAAAATTATTCTTTAAAATTATTTTCCAAGTGAATAAAAGCAAGACCTTCTCCAAAAATATGAAGGATTTTAACAGGCTGAGTGAAAATCCAATAATCCCATTCAGAAATTTACCTGAAAAGGTTTAATTATACAAAATTACAGATTGTTTAAAATAAGTTCAAGAGTATTCTTGGAGTGCAAGAAAAGAATCTCCTCATAAGTAAATGCAAACTCTTTGGTTATGTAGCTGTTGAATTTCTGTGGCTTGTGGGTACAAAGGTTTGCTCCTTTCAAGTACTGCAGTCACAGGAAAAAACAACATTGTTGTGCAGCTATATCCTTGTAAAACTGTGCATTCATATGATTAAGTTTAGTACACTGTATGTCAGATACTTACAAAGTTTATCTTGTGAATTCTTTCTTGTAGTGTATCCTGAATCGAGATCTGGGAAACCACTAACATTTTCAATACACATCTTCTTATTAATGTATAGGAAAAGTAGCAGCATGAGAATAATGAACACCCCGACTGCAGACAGGAATCCAATTGCTTCCGGAGATACTAAAAGAAACAGAAAGAAACGTATTTTTTAAAACTTTGTAAAGTTGTAATATTATAATAATTGATCATTAATAAATACTTTAAAAGATGCAAATATATATTCCAGATATAATTAAACCCCCACCATTTAATCTGAGTTAACATTTAACCATCTTTTCAAGGAACAGAAAAGCATGTGGCCCTAATCTGAGAGGGACTGACACTGTGAGCAAGAGGTTCTGATGGAAGACTGGACAGTCTCTGCAGAAGAATGGGGAGATTATCTGAAGTTCCCAAAACCAGTGATTTCTGATGGAACACCTGAGGCAGCACTGGAAAGGAGCTAAGAGCTCCCCATCTCCTGGAGGTTTGGCTAGCTCTGCTCAGGGCCAGTTCTGAGACAGCACTGCCAAGGAGGCACTGAGCCTTTGCCCTGTCCACCTTATTACATTCAGCACCTGGTTCCTCTTTCCCCAGGGACCAGCTGGCCTGCCCTGCCCTCTGGCAAGCAGGACACTTAATGAGCAAAAAAGAGCGAGAAAAACCATGTATGGGCACCTGCAAACGACCCAAGAAAGAGCTAATAGTGAGTGAAATAGAGATAAAGCACACTTAAAACCAGGTGGGGGGGAAAAGCCCAAAGTAGACTGACATGTCTTAGAAAGTATGTAAAGTAAAGAATATGTAATTGCTATTAAGCAGATAACTGCAAGGCAGTATTGGGGATCTTTGAAAGGTCTAGAATCTTTGACATGCACCAGCATCTAACAACATCATTTAACATCATTAAACAACCATTTAAGACTAAGATTATTAAGAAGCAGGTTTTAGAAATATGAAATCTGCAAATCGATGTGGCAAATTGAAGCAATGGGGAAGAGCATTTAAATGGCAGCTTATTTATTTGAAAGGAGAGTGGGCAGGGAAAGGGATATAGAAGATCAGCAAAAACAAGAGTTTAGAAATGTGAGAAATAAGTAACAACTTATAAAGGCAGTTCAAGACCAAGAAAGGGCAGATCTTTTGAAAGGAGTGCAGATGTCCACAGACTATAATGAAGCTGAGCTGCTTCATTAATAAAGGCTACCAGGATCTCAGAGGGAAGGCCCTTAGGAAACCCAGCAGACTCTCCACAAGCTCTATATCCAAAAACGTCGAAGGAAGAAATTAAAATAGTGACAGGATTGCACATTTACTGTGAAGTACAGTGGGAGGTTAAAGTGAAGGGTTGTAAAACTGCAATTCAATAAATAATATTTGAGTGCAATTTATAGGCAAAAATGTGATAGAACTCAGTAACTACATGCAATTAACAACCATGGAAAGCATTACAAAACTGCGATTTCTAGTAACAAGTAATTAATCTGTTAACAGGTTTATTAGTAATGTACTGACAATTAAGAAACTTTATAGGTTCGGTTATGTCTCAAACCTGCATACTAAACAGGAAAAGTAACCTAAGAGTGGATTTTGTGGTCACAACACACAGACAACACATACTTCAGAGCTGAACACAACTGCATTAATCTGGTTGAAAACTGGGATTTCACATATCCTTTTTCTTCCTCCTGACTTTGCAAGACTCCACACTCAACTCCATAAATCCCATTCTTGAGGGTTGATTTTTTTTTTTTTTCAATTTAATAAAGATTTATGAAGCTTTATCAGATTTACAAATTCTGTTTGCCAAGATCTTGGCACTTCACTTTAGGACTATAATGCTGCATGTTAACATCTTTCACTATTTAAAAAGGAGTGGAACTAAAGAACAGTTGGCAACAGACTCAGCATTCAGAGATGCAATACAAGAGGACAAGACGCAGGAGTCCAAAATAACTACAAGAAGAGTTCCAATTGGAGATGAGGCGGGAAAAATCCAGAATGAGAGGAGTTTATCACTGGAACAGATTGCCTAGATCAGTTATAGAATCTAACTTCAGTGTTATCCCTGCTTTGAGCAGGGGACTGAACTGCAAATTACTTTCCCAGGAGCCTTCCAAATGAAATCATTCTCTGATTCGACATATGCCCTTTGTAAATCTGGGCTCATACATCTATGTAAAAGTACTGACTGAGAAACACATGCAGTTCCACAACCTCCTCGCTTCGTTTTGCAGGATGACAGGGAACATTTGTGTCTGTGGTGCTGTTCTTAGATTATTATACAGGTGTCTTTTAAATCTGACAAAGAAAGATCCAAAGAAATCTGCCTTCCACCAGGAAAAACAAATTGGACAGATTTGCTGTTCTGTTTTGAGCTGGACATCCAGACCTATCTAAAACTGGCAATTATTTTTGCTTCAATTCTTACCTCTGACCAGAAGAGATCATGTAACATTTTCTCTAAACTGCCCCTGAAAATTTTCCCATGAAAAGGAACTTGCCAACAACTTCAAATGACACATCCTGCTGAATCAAGAGGGGTAACAAGGTGCGAAAAGTGGATTTCTATTCTGGAACGTAGAGGAAAGTAAGCTAATTTTTGTTTTACTTCATATTTTAATTATCATGAACTTTGGCATGTATCAGGCATTCATTTATTGTTTGTCAGGTGTCTATTTACCATTTTTCATGAAATCTTCCCACACGTGGGAATACTCTGAGATTTGACAAAAGCCTCAGTTCATATATATTAATTTTTTTCCTCAAAGCTTAACAGATTAAATCTCCCCAAGTTCTGCTGGCAGTAGGTATGCTCCCACCCCTTCCAAGACTGCATATGCATAACTGAGAATATCTGAGGCTATTGAAACAACACCCAGCTTTCTCTGAATTATTGATCCTGACCCAAATACAGAGAGACTGTGCCCAGAAAAGAAAATCTTCTTTTTCAATAAGTTCCAGCTATGACATCTATCAAACACAGAGGCAGTGGCAGAAAAGATAGCAAGAGGGGACTGCAATTCACCAGAACACAGGGACCAGCAGAAGTGAAAGAGCACTAGTAGGTGGCACAGGTTAATGATGTTCAGGGAGGAGATGAGTGTGAGAGATGAAAAAGGTTTGACATCAATTTAGGGTACACAGAACAAGTCAGAAAGCAAAGAAAAGGCAAAAAGAAGACAGATCAGAAGGCAGATAAAGATCATGGGATCTCTGAATGAGCTATGAAAATGATTGCTTTCTTATTGGAGCAGGCTGGCCTAAGCAACTTTACCTGAATTCAATGTCCACATTGCTTTGAGGAGGAGAGGAAACTGAATTCCAGTCATGGAATGATTCTCAACAAAGGGCAGTGACAGTCTCCTTTTAATAGGAGAGAACTGTACAGCAGCTTCAGGGAAAAACACTCTCACATATGTCACATTTGATCTTTTCAAACTGTAGGTTTAAATTTCAACTTTTAAATTTTTACTTATATTTTTCAGTAATCATCTGCCTTGATCCATCAAAATACATGTGTAAGGAACTTAACCTTAAGGAACTGAGAGCTGAATAGTTTGGGTTTCTTTTTTCCCAGTATGTCCTGGATACTAAGTAGTTAAAAAAGACAGTCTGAAAGCCTTATAGTTCTCTATGGAAACACAGTATCTGATGACATTTTTCTGGATGAAAAAAGAAACATTGGCTGATACCTTACAAAAAGAATGAAACTTTAGCTGCAGCAAAACTAATTAATTATTTATGTAATTCAGTGTGAACATAGGACTTGAAAATTATATTTCTGTATCAATTTGCACTCATGTAAAGAGTCTTAGAATACTTGTTCACAGATTAGGTAAATTATCAAACTGAAATCCTGTAAAGTATTACCATTATAAAGCCAGGGAATAAAAAATGTACTTCAATTTTCCAGATGAAATGTGCACAGATTCCCATCTATGAATACAGGTTTTATACATCACATTAATCCTTCAGTTAGTTTCTCACTGCTTAAGTGTCAAGCAGGTATACTTCATAGACAGAAAAAATATAAAAGTTCTTTTTTACATACAAAATACATCTATGCCACATTCACCACCAGAATAATTTTGATTCAAAACAAATTATAAAAAATTCTGAGTTGTCTGGGAATTAATTTTACCATGAAAAGCATTTTAAAAACTCTCAGAGGTTCAGTGGTTTCTTCTACTATCAGACACCAGTAGAAAAGCACTATTTTCTCAAAGTCATACTTTAAATTCAAAGGTCCTACTTCTATAAACTTCATCATCATTTTCGGTTCTTAAGAAAAACACCAATGAAATTCTGAATTTATGTTTGAAATTCATTATAATATAAGGCAGTTTTAGAAATACTAAAAGAACTAACGTCTTTCTACAAAGTTACCAGGACTAACTGAATTGCTGGCTATGGAAGTGGCATAGAAAGTCACAGCAATTACAGAAGTATTACCTTAACATCACTTTAATTCCATTTTGTTGTTATCATCACTAGAATTAGAAATATTGGAACACAGAAACTTACCATCTCTTCATCTTAAATATCACATTATCACTTCTTTCTCAAATAATAACTTCTTTGTTATGACATAATTTTTCATTTCAAAAAGATGTTTCAAACTCTTCAGAAAAAAATGACATCTTCAAATATATACCACCAAAAATCCTCAGACATTTTAAAAAGATGAAACTTTTTTCATACAACATTTAAAAGCATTTAATATTTTAGTATGTATCTAGCCCCAAACTTTATTTAACATGAAGTCAATTATTTTTGGAGCTTTCACACTCTGCATCATACCACTCACTTAGCTAGTAATGTACAAAGACACACAGTTATCTTAGTGATATTTCAATTATTCATTTACAAATGCAAAACTATCTCTTCTGTACACAAATTAAGTAACTAGGGGGTATGACCTGAAAAATGACAATTACCTTTAGGATTCTGGCACAAAAAACATTTCAAATGTAATACGTAAGCTTGTTTTTATTTATAACTTGGGTTTTGGGGGTTTTCTTGCAACTTGATCAAAGAAACTTTAGCCTTTTAAATTTTTTAAATATACAGGACCATTGTTTTGTATTTAGTCCAGAAACATGTTTCTCACAAACATGTCATAACAGAAAAAAACAAAC